TGTAGGTTCTTGGGGTTTTTTTTTAGTGGTTTTTAATGTCAGACTAATAAAAAAAACTAGTACATGGTCCTGGTTTTGTCATAAGGTCCACAGATTTGCTTTATTTGTCCTCTATTTTGTGAGAGGGGGAGAGGAGAGCTCTTGAAACTGATATGTACTGTTTGGATTTGGGTTTGGTAGTCATACAGCAGCCTATGAAATATAACATGGCAGTTAACAGCTATATTTTGAAGAAAGATGGATAATATTCTATTTGCTATTCCTGTCCAAAGGTGCCAGTGATTTCCTAATTGCTATATCCAAAAGCCCTTCCTCATGCAATCTTCTTTTCTCTTTCTATAGACTTTCATTTGGGAAAAGCTGGGACTTTTCTGTGTTTTCATTTAGGATTTCTTTAAAATACAGCTCTGAAAAAGAGCTGGCTTTAAAAAAAAAAAAATGGTTTCAAAGGGAGGTACTAAACCAAATCTAAACTCAAAACACTCTGGCTTTCATCGAATGGTCAAGCCCAAGCCTCATAGGTTCATTGTTTAGGTATCTAGTTATCTAAAGCTAAGAATGAGCGTAAATAGCAATTGTTTACAATTTTGGCCAGAAACTTCTGAGAGTCTTCCAGATTGGTATTTTTGTGGTAGCAAATCAGGCCATCTTCAGAATGGGCTTTGTGTCACAGGAACTGAGGCCTGGGAAACACCTTGATTGGAAAGGCCAAGGTCATCCACTACACTCCAGGGCCAAGACCAGTAGTCCTGACTTTTGTCTGACCACTGGACTTCCCGAGTATTAAGGAGAGACCTAGACTGAAGACTCTGCACAGTTCTGTTTCATTTAAATCCAATTCACCCAAAAGTCAAGACATCACCCACAGGATGTCACTGGTCCTCTTCGAGAACAAAAGTCAAACAACAAACCCACACTGTAAAAATAAGGAGGTTGGACTAGATGACCTCCAAAACCCATTACAACACCAAATCTACGATCCTATAATCTTATTAGCAAGAAAAATGTTTGGAAAAGATGTTAGCTGAAATAACAGTGCCCAAAACAAACTATAAATATATTTCCACAGTCCTTTACATATTATAAATAAAATACAAGTGGTCCCCAAAGTCTAAGTTGTAGTTATTAAACTATTACAGCTCTATACCCTCTTTATCTTTCCTGACTTTTAAAAATGAAATTGGAAAAGCATATCATTTAATTATTCAGTGCACTAAATACTATGGGGAAATCTACATATCCTAGTTAATATCAAAAGGAAATGCTAAAATCACAATCTCAACTTATTTCTGAGGGGGGAAGATTTCCAATGTCAATGGTTAGTTACACTGGCCTGATTCCATGCTATCTAAAAGCAAATTATTTAGTCTACGGGTGTATGGGTTCAATTCCCATCTGAAGCAATTATTTTAGTTCTTCCTGTACCTCCCTCTTTTCTCAACCATCTAAAAATCTAATCAAAATTTGCACTTAAAATACAAAAGATACTTTATGTATATAAATTAAATTCAAATTCAAAATATAAATTCAATTCAAAAGCTGGACCCTATTCTAGAGAACTGTCTTTTAAAAAATAATGCAACTGTTTCCAAATGCCAAATCTATGAAGAGACAAGTCCAGGAGTTTTATATAAAAATGATCCTAATAAAAAACTGGGCTAATTATGCTAAGTGGTTAGAAACTTTGTTTTAAATCTTATAAAAAGACCAAGAAGCTGTATAAAAAATCTTTTATATGGAAATGTGGCCCTTCAAAAACTTAAAGATACTAAACAAATCAAAATAATGTTCTTAAGGCTGCCAATGGAACACTAAGTTATAAAATATCAGGAGTAGTTTACAACTCAGCTCACAAAAACATTAAACACATTTTAGCTGTATCATAACAAAAACAAAAGAAGATGAGAATAATAGGACTCCTTTCATTACATGCTAGGATTATACGATAGGAGAATACTTTATATTAAGAGCTCACAACCTCTCCAAGTTTTAGGTTCCTAATTTGAAAAATAAGTAATAATATTTGTAAATACATACCTCATGGATGTGTTATATGTTCCAAAGCACTATGTAAACCTCAAAACACTACATATGTATAAAAGATATATGTACACACATATACCAACACACTTAGTCACACCTGTTATTATCCTAGTGAGAGATATACTTCACTTTAAAGTGTAACTGAATCCTTGGTCTAACAAAGCAACTGGGGTGGGGGTGAGATAGGGAGCTGTAGACTGTAGTTGTTTAAACACAAAGTCCTAGCTAGGGTGCTTGAGATGAAGCAGTTGTGTAACAGCTCAAATACAATACTACCCAAAAATTAAGATTAATAATGATATTCAACACTCGAGAAGTTGGAAGTACACACAGGCTGCTTTTATTACCATAACAACTGAAAACACATTTTCCCTCCCCCTTAAGGCAACAGGCAATGAAAGGGAGTGGCAAATAATTAAAATGTATGTGATAGTGTCTTTGCCTTCAGAGAGTTTATAAATACTAAAAGCAGTCTTCCCATTAAAAATTCAACCAGTTGCAATAAACTTCTTCTAAGTATTTCAGTAACTTAGGTAACTTAGAAAAGACTATTTCCAATGAAAATTCACAGCCACCTAAAGCATACTTTCGAATCCTGGCTCTGCCATTTACTTCCTCAGTGACCTTTAACAAGTCACAACCTCTTTGGGTCTCAGGTTTCCCATATGTAAAATTAGGGGGTTCTACTGATGAACCTCCCTACCCCAGGCACTTCCAGTTCTGTTTACATGACTTTACTATTGGTCCTACTATAGTACTCTAAAATTGTTCATTTTACAAGTTTTAATGCACTTAAAACTTCTAAGAACCACTATTTTAAAAATATATTAATAAATCAAAGTGCAAATAAAAGAAAACATCAAAGTTGGGAGTCTGAAGCATTCCTTCAAATATCACTAATTAAATATTCGATGGTGGGCAAGTCATTTCATTTCTCTGGGTCTGTTTCCTCATCTGTAAAAAGGAATTTGAAGAAACAATCTCTATGGTTCCTTTCAGCTTTTAAAAAGCACATTAGATAAGGCTACTTAATAATCTGTGAGGTTTCCCCCTTTTATTTTTGTGTCAAATGCTGTTTTTTTCAAATGCTGGGCTCAATATTAAACACAAAGGGGGAGATGAGCACAGGCCCTGGAGTCGAGAACTTGAGTTCAAATCCAGCCTCATACTTACTAGCAATGTGGCTCTGGGCAAGTCACTTAACCCTGATGGCCTCCACCAAGGGGAAAAAGAAGAAAAGCAAAATAACAAAACTACAAAGCCCTGATCACATATATTCACTAATGCCAGGAGAAGGGACAGGCATCAAACACTCATATCTTGTTTTCAAACTTCCTAATAAATTCACTTTCACTAGATTTTATATCTAGTTTTTGTTTTGAAAAAGAAAATAATTTTGTTATATAAACCAAGTTACAGACTGCCGATTATTTAAAAATAGTCAATATCTGTAGGAATCTATGATCTTCCTAACTGGTTTCATAGACAAATGGCTTTTCCCAATTAGCACCATTCTTATGTTATTCTAGAAGCCCAATGAAAGCAAATCGTTCAACATGAACTCAAAACTAAGTGTTTCTTGGCAAAATTTCAGTTTTCCGAAACACTCACCAAAGGCTTAGATTAGGGGATGGTGGTGGCAGCACTAGGAAATGCTTATCACCTTTCACCAAAACACAACGACCGAGTTGTTGTTGTGTTATCTACAGCACACTTATCCTATGTGTAACAAGACATCTGCAAATACAACCTTGAAAAATCATCCTTCAAAGCACAATATTTCAAAAGTTCTTTGGTGTCCAGCAAATTCCCAACCTCCGTGGGTGTATGTTTGATAATATGCAACGGGAAATCAGTGCTTCCTTAAATGTTTAAAGACAGTGGGTGTTCTAAACGGTGGAGAAAAGCTGACTTCTATAGTAGGGGCTCACAACTGCCTCTTCGCAAATATACACACACGCCCATCAATCTATCAGCTCATTTAAGCGTTTACGGGGTATCCCAGAAGTCCTCGTGAAGTCTAGCTGAAGCGTTACCCTAAAACCACACTAAGACTAACCTTTTGTTCCAATTTTAAACTTAAGTCGTTTAAAACTGCATTAAGACTTTCAGGGCACCCTGAATGGTTCCAAAAGTCTTAATGAAGTGCTTTATTAAATACGAGGGCTTCCAAAAGTCTTAATGCAATAGTTTTTTAAAACTTTGTATTTAATATGTCGACTCCAACTCAGAAAATTAATAGATTTCACAAACAATGGAAAGTTAATGGACTTGTTCATTTTTGTGCTTGCTTCAAGGAAAAAAAAAAATTCAAAGAGTAGTTTGGCTTCACGTTACAGCAGATAGTCAAAAATAAGTTGTTTATTTTTTCCCCCCTAACCAAAACCTCTAAACTTTTAGGCGCTTACTAAAGCTCTTATCACCTTCAAGCGGGTTTCCAGATTTCTTAAGCACGTGTTCTCCTACCTGTTCATAATTTCGAGGCAGTTGAGGAATGGGAGGTTCGGGAATGGAAGTGTGAAGACTGGCTTTCGGTTAGATCCCGAGAGGAAGCATTCTCCCCCCCCCAACACCTCGCCCCCGCCCTCCGCCCTCAGGTGAAGTTCGGGGGAGGGGGAGGGGGAGGGGATCGGGATCTCCGGGCCCCGGCCGCCGCCTCAAGATCCCCTTTGACAGCTGCATCCGCCCCGGTCCCAGGGGCCCCGGAGGCCTTTTCCTGCCCCCCACCTCCCCCCCCGCCGCCTGCTGCTCAGCTCGGCCTCAGGGGCAGGGCACCGGCCAGGCCTTCCCCGCCGGACCCGGGCGTCCGAGGCCTCACCACCCCTCCCCCCCTACCCAAAGCCTCCTCCGCGGCGGGGTCGGGCCGCCGGGCCTCCTCCCCAGTCAGCCTCCCTCCCTCTCTTCCCCGCCCTCGGCTCCCGCCGGTCCCCAGGGCTGGGCCCACGGGCCCCACTCACCCACTGGAGAATCTTGATGAAGCCCAGGGGCTCCTTAAGCGGGCTTAAGTTAATCTGGAGGCCCGACATCCTCTGAGGGAAGGAGGGAAATAGGGCAAGAGTCAGGGCGGCCGGACGGCTGGGGACGAGCCAGACCTAGGCGTCCCAGCTGCGGAGGGAAGGAAGGAGGGAGGAGGAGGGTCGACCTGACGGAGCGAGGCTCCGGGAGGCGGGGCAGGGCGGGGCCGCCCTGAGGTGGGGCCCGGGAGGCGGTTAAGCCTGGCTGGGCCCGGAGAAGAGGCGGGGCGAGGGCGGGGAGGAGGGAAGGGGGAGAGGAGCGGCTCCTCCCCGGCTCTGCACCTGGCCGAACCGGCTGATCCTCTGGCTAACCCTATGGCTCATATCCGAGGCTATCTTGAGCGTGCGAACCCCACCTCCCCCTCCCAGAGCCCGCCCCCTAAGCAAGCCGCCCGAATTGGGCTCCCGCCCGGTTCCGCGCGCGCCCCACTCTGCCTCCCGCGCCGCGCGCCCCGCGCTCTCCTTTCCGGCGGCGCTGCGCGGCGCACAAAGGCTCGGCGGGGCGGGGGCGAGGGCGGGGGAGGGGGGAAGGAAAGGGATCGGAGGGGGGGAGGGGCGGCACCTGTTCTGCCCCGCCCATAGGGGTTCAGGGCGTTAGGTCTCGTCGCTTCTGCTTCTCGGTAACGGGCTCCTGGCCAGTTGTCCGGCCGCCGGGGGTGCTAACGTGCTTGCTGTGCGCCGCCCTGGCCCTCAGGGGTTAGTACAGTGGGCACTCGGACTCTGCCCTTCACCCCCAGCCCGCGGCTCCCCTCCCTCTTCTGGGCTTGGCTTGGGACGGCCGGACCTCGCCGCGTTTGTGTGCTGTATGTTTGGATTCGGAGGTTCACATTTTGAACAGACTTTAAAATCTTAAAATTAGAATCATGTGTCAGGGCATGTGCTAACGTAGGCATGGAAATTGTTTGCTTCCTTGTACAGTACCCACCATAGAGTAGGTGATTAATAAATGCTTGCGGACCGATTGATTCAAAACCCCGATTGTGTCTTCTCGATAAGTAATGAGCAAAACCTCGGCGCTTAATCATGGGTTTGGGGTGGGAGGGTTGTTTTAGTTCATAAAGATTTCGAGTTACAAAAAAAAAAGCCTTTTTTTAAAAAGAAATTTAGTTCTAGAGCTTAGCACAGTGCATAGCACGCAGGAGCTTAGTAAATGTTTGTATATTAACTTGTGATTGTTAACTAGGTCAAAGTAGGCGATCGATAGATAGAGACAGACAGACAGATGAATAGATGTCTTGCGAACAAATATTTGAGTTCCATGAGGACTACCCAAACTCTTCTCCCGGGGGCCAGGCACCAAGTTCTATATGCCATATACGTTTAATAATGTTTGGCAGAATTCTGTATGTATTTTATCAAATGCTGTGTATTAGCAGCATCCATTTGCGCTGACTTATGTGGCCATCCAATAACAGCCTGAAGACTTCCAGGAATGGGGAACTCTATATTGCAAACCATTTTATTTTTTTTTTAATGTCACTCTCCCCTTTTATTTCCATTCAACAATTGCCAGTAATTTCTATGGAGAATTTCTTCTTCTCCTTTTTTTTTTGGTGAGGCAATTGGGGTTAAGTAACTTGCCCAGAGTCACACAGCTAGTGAATATTAAATGTCTGAGGCTGGATTTGAACTCAGGTCCTCTTGACTGGGGGGGGTGGTTGGTGAAGGGAAGGGGGGGCTCTATCCACTGCGCCACCTAGCTGCCCCTATGGAGAATTTCTTAATCAACTGTCATTACAATTCATCTTTTTAAAATTTTATTTTCTCCAATTATGTGTAAAAAAAAAATTTCTAACGTTCCCTTAAGTCGTTAAGAATGTTTTTCTTCTTATGGAACTGGCACCTGTGTCCTTACAACTTGAATCCATTGTTCTTAGTTGTGTGTAAGGATCCCAAAAGAACAAATCTAAGCTTTCTTCCAAATGCCAACCTGCCACCAATGCCTAGGGAGCCAGAAAAGAAGCTATGGTTTCACAGCGGGCCTGGTTCATCCTGGGGACAAGATGACCCCAAAAAAGAGAGGTGTTTTCTTACTCTGGTTGGTTATGCCAGACGAAACATAACTCTGGGGAAAATCTCTAAAATAAAGCCTATGGCTGGTGTCTAGGGTTTCCCTGAAAGGGACTGATCAATTGGGTCATTTTAAGCAAAAGTACTGTGTACAAAGTAGATACCATGTATAGGACAGCTATTTTTTCCCTCCAACTACAAGGGAAATGCTTAAACCCAGAAGATTCGTCATATTAATAAATACTTTAAAACAAATCATGGCAATCTCACCTTGCTGAGGGATAAAGATAAATCAGTAGAACTGCTGAACAGATATTTAACCTTCACCTGGGATCTATGTTATCTGAACAGTTCATGAAGTTCAAGTCTTCTGGATAGCCAGGGAGTCTTGGTCCCTTCAAGTTCAGGGGTTTCAATGGTTATCTTCTTACCCTAAGAGTAGTTGCAGGGAACACCTCCTGCTGGGCAGCAGGCACTGACTCAGGTGCCTAAGAATTCTCAAACGCATGAAGTAGCTGCTTGATAAGTTTTGAAATGTCTCAAGATTAGAAGGAAAGAAACAAAGCAGAAGAGGCAGCCAGGATTTCAGGTCCAGTCTCAGGTTTGACAGGCAAACACATGTTCTCTCTGCTATATGACCCAGTTGTGGCAGCCATTGCTAGTGGAAGAGGAGGTGGTGGGAAAGAGATTCCTACCTTGCTGGAAGTTCACAGCACAGCTGGGGATGGATCTGTCCCAAGAAAGGGCAGCCTGAAGGAGAGAAGGGATGGAGCCTTTCTAAAAGTTCTTGCGGCCTCTGAGGGCAGTTTTTTTTCTATAACAATCTGTCTCGAATGGTGCTCGCTAACACAACCCCCGATCAGCACCTACTATGTGCCAGGGGAAGAGGGGAGGTACACAAAAACCAATCAGGACTTGTTGCTTCTCAACAAGGTGAAGTGTCTGCACCTCAGCAGGTGACCAAGGTGTGGTTGGCCCTTGTTCCAGCTCCAGAGCTACCTGTAAGTCCCAACTAAAATCCTCCCTTCTACAAAAAGTCTTCCTCAACCCCTCTTAATTCCAGTGCCTTCTCTGTATTAATTATTTCCCATTTATCCAGTATACAGCTTGTTTTGTATATATTTGTTTTCATGTTGTGTCCCTCTCCATTGATTGTAAACTCCTTGAGGGCAGGAATTGTCTCCAGCTCTTAGAACAGTGCCTAGCATGCAGTAGATGCTTAATGTTGATTGATTAATTGACATGCTTGTCCATCCTCATAGAGTCAGAGCACAGGGGGTCACCCCTGCTACACCTAAGATATTTGATTACAGCTATCATGTACCTCCTCAGTCTTCTCTTTATACCAAGCTCAAACCAAAGTTCTTTGTCTAGGCTAAAACATAACAAATTGTCTTATTGGTTCCTCCGTCTCGTAAATGCTATCGCTTACCAAATCTTGCCATTTCTACCTTCTCAACATCTGTTGCATCCCATCCCTTCTCTCAACTCATACAGTTACTACCTTAGAATAATCCCTTATTCTTCCATTATTGCAATGGCCTCCTAATTGGTCTTTCCCAACTCTATTCCTTCTCTACACTGCTGTCAAAGAGATTTTCCTTAAGTAGAATAGCCACATCACTCCCCTACTCAATAAATTTCATAGGCTCTCTACTGCCTCTAGGATAAAATGGAAGTTCCTTTTTTTAGCTTTTAAAGCTTCAACCAACCTTTCCAGCTTCAATATCTATTATTCTACCTCCTGCATTCTGTGAGCCAGAAAAACTGACCTTTCCTCTGTTTCTCATACAAGACAGTACATCCCTCCTTTCTATCTTTGCACTGTGACTGTTCCTGGTACCTGGAATACATTACCTTCGAATCTTCTCAGAGAATCTCTCTCTTCTTTTGAGGTGTGGCTCCAGCATCACATTCTACCTGTAGCCTTTCCCGATTCATCTGAATGTTCCCTTCCTCCCAAACTGCCCTATAGTTAACAACTTCGAATTTATTTGTTCATATTGTCTGTATGCTTATATAACTATTTGTTGTATCCTCCAGTAGGATGGAAATGCCTTGAGGGTAGAGATTGATTCATTCATTGTTTTTGTGTCCTTACTCTATAGCATAATGCCCATAGTAGGTGTTAAGTATATGTGTATGTATGTATGTATATTTATATACTTATATACATATATAACCACATATCTGTCTATATATACATTTACATATATTTGTACATGTGTATATTCAAATGTTTGTATATATTTGGATGTATGTATATACATACATATATACACACGTATATATTTAGTTTTGTATGTATATATAGGGATATATAAATATTACCAAGCTTTAGAGTCCCAGCCTATCTGGTATTCTAAAACCTAGCATTGCCTAATCTGCCACAGGGACAAATTAGACTTGATGAGGGACAGTGGGTGTGTCTTTGGAATTCACCAAAAATCACACTATTAAGAATGTGACATTAGAAGATACACGTTATGGAATGATGAAGATACGAATTGTCTATAAATCAGCCAATGAACATTTATTAAGCCAAACACTGTCCTAAACTTTGGAGATACAAAAACAAAAATGAAACAGTCCTGCCCTCAAGGAGTTTACATTCTATTGGATTATAAAGCATTTGTGTGTGTGTAATATAAACAAAATGGTAAAAGGTAAATTGGGGTTGGGGGGGCACTAGAAGCTTGGAAAGGCTTGATGTAAAAGGTAGCATTTCAGATGACTTTTTAAGGAAATCAGGGATTCTAAGACAGAGCAGTGATAAAGGTAGGAATTCCAGGCATGGGGGATAGCCAGTAAGTGTAACCTCGAAGAGACAAGGATGGATTGTTGTGTGTGCAAGAAAGCCAGTCTGGTTGAACTGAAGAGCAAGGAAGGGAAATAACATAGAATAAAGTTGGAAAGATTGTTTGGGACCAGGTTGTAGAGAGCATGAAAAGCCAAATAGAGGAGTTTCTAGTTGATCCTAAAGGCAGTTTATTGAGTACAGGAGTAACATGGTCAAACCTATGCTTTAGCAACATCACCTTGGTAGCTATATGAAGGATGGATGGCTCTTAACTCTTGGCAGTGTAGCTTCTGATGTAATCAATCAACTGAAATTGCATTCTCCAAAG